AAGCCACAGATTCTAGAACCAGACTGCCTGAGTTCAAAATGCCTGTTATGTATAGTAGTAATAACAGTCCCTATCTCGTAGGTCAGTTGAGAGTCAATTGAGTTAATACACATAAAGCGCTTAGAATGATGTTTAGTACGTAGTAAGTGCTATATAAATGTTTGCAATTATTTTTATTTTGCATTGCATACCATTAAAACAAGTTTCTTGTACTTAGTGCTTATTTTTTCTCTAAAAATTATAGTCAAAGATGAATTCCAAAGTTAGAAACCAGTTTGAAGGGGAACTATTACTACTTTTTATCGGAATTATTAGATAATCCAAAAATCTTTCTTGATTAAAATTACATTTAGATTTGGACATTCTCACTCATTTTAGGCGTGATGGCTCTAGCAGTGCATACTTCTTAGAAAATATAAAACTAGATTTGGAGGAACTAGAAAGGGATCCACTTTATCTTGTTCCCCATTTCAAGTTTGGTTGAACTAACTATATTACTTACAAGAATTTACTTATTAAGGTAAGTTTGGTTTCTATGGGGATGTTGTCATGCTATTTGAATGTTCTCATCTTTGTGAAGAGTGTGCAGAACATCATTAGAAGATTATACCTGTCCCAACTTGGGGATTATGTGGATACACAATTACTCGGCATCAGCAAGTAAGGATAGTGAGGAGAAGGATTGTGAGGGCACTTACTAGTGTATGCTTTGTGCCAGATGCTATGACGGATGTTTTTACATAATTCCATTTCCAGTAGAAAATTTCTCTTCCTCTTCTCACCCAGATGAGCTGAAAGAACTGGGGCTGGCTAATGAGCCACAGTATCAGCAAGACTAGGAAGAGAATGGTGAAGGAAGCAGCTTGCATTCTGCTTTTTCCTAGGTCTCACATGCCCCTCATTTGATGTGGAGCCTAATGAAGACTGACACGTTTTAAAATCTAATTCCTCAAAACTGTTATGTAAGATAAAATATTAACCATAGGAAGACATTTTCAAATTATGAACTCATAAAACTTAGAAAATTTTTTATAAATTAAGTTAGAATTGACTTTTTCTTCGTCAATGAATTAAAATTTATTAGAAATCAAATGTATCATATTTGATGACTGTGTGTCTAATACAGATTTTAGATTCCCCCCACCTCCATTCTTTTTTTTTTTTTTTTTTTTTTTTTATTTAAAAACAGGGTTTTGCTGTGTCACTCAGGCTGGAGTATAGTGGTGTGATCACAGCTCACTGCAGCCTCAACCTCCTGTGCTCCAGCAATCCTCCTGCCTCAGCCTCCCTAGTAGGTGGAGCCACAGACACCATTAGGCCTGGCTGACTTTAAATTTTTTTTTCTAGAGATGGAGGTCTTGCCATGTTGCCCAGGCTGATCTTGAATTCTTGGGCTCAAGTGATTCTTCTGCCTCAGCCTCCCAAGGTGCTGCAATTACAGGCGTGAACTCCCAGCTCTTTTATGAAAATTTTCAAACAGGAAGAAAATTACAAAGAATAATAGTGTAAACATCTATATTTCTATCACTTAGGTTTAAAAGTTTTTAATACTTACTGTATTTGTTTTACAAAGCTATCTGCCTTTCTCTCCTTATAGATTTTGTTTGTTTGGGTTAATTATTGGAAAGTACTACCCACATGTACCCCAAAGATTCTCTTTAAAAAAAAAAATCAGCTTTATTGAGGTATGATGTTCACATACCATACAATTAAAAGATTTTTTTTTAACAAGTTTGAGAACCAGAATTCAATCAAGGCTCACCCATTGCATTTGATTATGTCTTATTCTCTGTTATTCTAGACAAAACCCTTGCCTTTTTTTTTTTTTTTTCTTAAACTGGCTTTTTAAAGAGACAAGCCAGTTGCCTTGATGAATGAATAATGAATCTAGGTTTATTAATTTGTCTGATTACTTCATTATGGTGTCATTTACCTTGTTCTATGCCCTTTTCCTGTAAGCTGGAAGTTAGGACTATAGGCTTGCTGAGATTTAGGTTAAACTTTTTTTGCCATAATTATATCATGTGTGATAATTTATGCTATGTACTTGCTATTGTAACACATCAGGAGACACATTATCAGAATGTCTCATACTAGTAATGCCAGTTTCCACTTGATTAAAGTGATAATAAATAAATATTTTCTTATTGAAGGTATACCCTCCCCACCCCACAGTTAGAATGTAACTTCTGGGACAAATAGTTTTGCAGGAGCAAGTATACCTATCTCCCATCTTTTGCCTTTTAGCATCAATATTCGTGATCCTTGCCTAAAACAGTTAAGTGACTTGAGGTTACAGAATGGTGATTTTCTCATTTGTTTTCTAATTTATTAGCTGACATTTTTCAGGAGATGAATTAAAGTTCCTAAAGATGGGGGTTAATGTTTCATCCCTTTTAGTTACGGTTTTCCTGAGTAAGGAGTTTAAGTCACGTCCAGTGCAAGCACATGAGCCTTCCTCTCTTCTTTCTTTATTTTTTTTGAAATGGAGTCTCTCTTGTAACCCAGGCTGGAGTGCAGTTGCATGATCTCAGCTCACTGCAACCTCTGCCTCCTGGGTTCAAGCAATTCTCCTGCCTCAGCCTCCTGAGTAGCTGGGATTACAGGCACTGGCCACCACGCTCAGCTAATTTTTGTATTTTTAGTAGAGATGGGGTTTTACCATGTTGACCAGGCTAGTCTCAAACTCCTGACCTCAGGTAATCTGCTCACTTCAGCCTCTTAAAGTGTTGGGATTACAGGCGTGAGCCACTGCACCCGGCTTGTTTGTTTTTTTTAAAATATCATGGACATAGGGATTTTTATTCATTGTTTACAGTCAATGAGAGATCATTATACTTTTTGTTTAAGTTTGCATCATTCAAGCTATCATTACAGTAGCATTTTTACACTGTGAAGCAATAATTTGGGGGAAAAAAGACACAATAGAAAATGTATACAAACAAGTGTAGATTCACATATTTTAAAAACAGATACATTAGATGGCATCTGGCCAGCCATGGTGGCTCACACCTGTAATCCCAGGAGTTTGCGATGCCGAGGCGGGCAGGTCACTTGAGGTCAGGAATTTCAGACTAGCCTGGCCAACATGGTAAAACCCCGTTTCTGTTAAAAATACAAAAATTAGCCCAGGTGTGGTAGCACAGGCTTATAATCCCAGCTACTGGGGAGGCCAAGGCGTGAGAATCACTTAAACCCGGGAGGAGGAGGTTGCAGTAAGCCGTCACACCACTGCACTCCAGCCTGGGCAACAGAATGAGACTCGGTCTCAAAAAAATAAAGAAAGCCTTGTTTTAAAGGGAGAACAAGACACAATCAAATGCAGTGGGTGAACCTTGACTGAATTCTGGTTCTCAAACTTATAAAAAAAAAAACCTTTTAATCGTATGATATGTGAACATCATACCTCAATAAAGGTGATTTTTTTTTAAAGAGAATCTTTGGGGTACATGTGGGTAGTACTTTCAAATAATTAACCCAAACAAACAAAATCTATAAGGAGAGAAAGGCAGATAGCTATGTAAAACAAATATGAGTATTAAAAACTTTTAAACCTCAGTGATAGAAATATAGGTGTTTACGCTATTATTCTTTGTAATTTTCTTCCTGTTTTCATGAGAGCTGAGAGTTCACACCTGTAATTGCAGCACCTTGGGAGGCTGGGGCAGAAAAATCACCTGAGCCCAGGAATTTGATATCTGCCTGGGTAACATGGCAAGACCTCCATCTCTAGAAAAAAAAATTTAAAGTGAGCCAGGCCTGATGGTGTCTGTGGCTCCAGCTACTAGGAAGGCTGAGGCAGGAGGATCGCTTGAGCCCAGGAGGTTGAGGCTGCAGTGAGCTGTGATCATACCACTGTATTCCAGCCTGAGTGACACAGCAAGACTCTGTCTTTAATTAAAAAAAAAAAAAAGTGGGGGGTGGGGGGAATCTAAAATCTGTATTAGACACACAATCATCAAATACATGATACCTTTGATTTCTAATAAATTTTAATTCATTGACAAATGAAAAAGTCAGTTCTAACTTGAATTTGTAAAAAATTTTCTAAGTTTTATGAATTCATAATTTGAAAATGTCTTCCTATGGTTAATATTTTATCTTACATAACAGTTTTGAGGAATTAGATTTTAAAATGTGTCAGTTTTCATTAGGCTCCACATCAAATGAGGGGCATGTTTCTGTTCATCACTATGTTTCTAACATATTGCTTGATACACAGCTAATTCTCAATAAGTATTTGTGGAAGGAATGAAAATTTTTGAGTGCTGCATCTATTGTATTACTTAATTGATACCACAAGGTGGTACTGTTGTACCATGAAATGAAAGCCTGTAAGCATAATACTACATAAATCCTGTGACTAAATGAAATGAATTGACTACCTATTATGTTTATTGCCTGCTTCATTTATTTATAATTTCACCATGTGATTTGTCTTTGATTACATGATTGGGTCAGGCAGTGAGCTCATAACATAAGCAACATTTGGTTCAAATTTTTATAAAAATGTTAGATGGGATAGCATCTTACACACCTAGCATTTTACCACGGTGGTTTCCTTTTCCCACTTTTAATTTACTTTAGGTTAAAGGCCTTTGTTAAATTGTTATTTGTGGTGAAATAATTTGCCAAAATTTTCTAGTAAATTATCACTGAGGGTTAAATAGTATTGTAAGTCTGTTTTGGTTGTCAAAATGTTTAAAAAATTAATACCAAATCTAAATTTATATGTTTTTCCCTCACTTAAAAAATTTTTTTGTTTTGCTTTCATATTTATTTTATGGAGTCCATAGACTATTTTACTAATGTTTAGTTCTTTATTATACATCTGTACATATATAATCATAGTGTATAAAGTAAGTCAGTTTATAATTTCTCTTGGTTTTACCCCTATTATAAAAACTAAGCATCGAAAAATTTGTTTTGTAGCTTGGACCTTTTTGTTTCCTTATGATGGAATTAATTTTGGAATATTTTGATTCTATAATCTTCCTCAGACTGAAGTGAAATCAGAAGAGGGCCCAGGTTGGACGATCCTCCGTGATGATTTCATGATGGGAGCATCTATGAAAGACTGGGACAAGGAAAGTGATGGGCCAGATGACAGCAGACCAGAATCTGCAAGTGACTCTGATACATAAAGCACCATAGGAAATAAAATAATCATTTTATTTTTTCTAGAAAAATATTTCATCCCCTGATAATTGGGGAATTAAAAGGATACCAAAAGTCAAAAGACTTTTGCCTGATTTCATATTTCCCCTTTTCATGTACACTTTATATATACTTTCTTAAAATTATATTTTAAACCCTGGTATAATTTTAAGCATTGTTCCTCAGAACATCTGTAAAAGGAAATACTGCTGCTTGACCAGTGAGATGAGCATTTTGCCAGGATCATATTGGTCCTGTCTACTGGTGTGTTATTTCAGTATCACCAATGTTTTCAGAAATACAGTACCAATTCATAATTAAACTCTTTCAAGTTAATAGTTCTCTGCCTTCGAACTTCTAGACCCAACTATGTATCTGTAGTTTTTGGGAATGATTGGTGTTTTTTGGTTTGTACTGGGAAGTTATTGAGAAAACCTATATAATAAAATTTAAAATTATAGTTTTTTGAATTTTGGGTAGTGATTTTAGTTTTAGGTCATCTGGAAGCTGTGATTTAAGAAACCACAGAGTTCAACTTTTATTTCCTTTTATTTATTAAATAATATAAATTATGACAGATTTAAGTGTTAGGCTGTTTTTGCATGAGAGCTTTACAGAGTTAGAAATTCTCATGCTTAACTTACACAATGAGACAGAATTTCTTAGGAAGCATGTTTGACATGTTTTAGTCTGTCACCTGTTTTTTCCTCCCAAATATTTGAGTCAGCTTAAATTCTTTTTTATGGACTTTCCAACCAGTGGAATGATGTAGTTAGACAACAAGTAATCTGCAGCAGAATACTGCATCTGATTTGAGACTCGATTCCATATTATTGCCTTAAAGGCTATTAAATTGGGTGACTTTTAATATCTAGCTGTTAAAAAGAGGAGAGTCATTTCAAAATTTCTGTGAAATGTGGCCTATGCTCTAAAGTTTTAAAGGGAATTATTTAATAAATGTGATTTGTTCCTTTTTGAAGAGGACCCATCCCTTTTCGTAATAAAAATAGTTCCCTCCCACTAACCAGTTGCACATACTTGCATCTGTTATATATTGAAGGATAATCCTCCCCCAAAAAACTATGCAAGAGCAGAGATGTTTATATTTTGAAACCCATTTGAGTGTTAACAGTATTATATGACTAAAGCTGAATCAGTCTGTGGCCTGGTATTTGTTATCATAAAGGAAGATGTACACCTAAGATATCAGGTGGTTAAAACAGCAAAGTACAAGATGCATTTTTGTATTTAACTTTTGAACTTTAGTGTCTTTCAGTATAAATAAATGAACAAATATACCTCAGTAGTAATACAGGAGAGCTAAATATCCTGCTATAACTTAATACAGATAAATATTTCAATATGTTAGCAAACACATAATTTTGGAAAAAAAAAATGTGTAGCAACTTAAACACATTTTTCTCCCCAGAACTAAGATTGCACTTAATTTAATCTGTTTCTGGGTTATACTAGAAACAGGAATTTTTGCAGGAATTTTTCTGAATAGTACATTCACATGATAGATATGGATAAACAGCTTATTTACTAAAATGTTTTGAAACAACACTCATATTTTATAGTCTCTCATTTAATGTGAAAAAAATTTGACAAGATTTTCACATTGAAAGTAAGGAAGAGAATATTTGCAGATTTTCATTGTTCAGAAATTATTTTATCCCAAAGCAAAATTGAGTTGCCACTATAAGGAAAAAAAAAGTATTACTTCTGTTAGAAGGCTATGAAGTATATATAAATTATATGACATGATTTTTATCATATAGGTTTGATATCTTCTAGGTATTAGTATTTTTGCATCTTGGATATTAAATAAGCAAAATACCATTATGTATAAATATGAAACCAAGAACGTGCATATTTTAGAAACTAATTATGTATCTTAAGTGAATGTTTTAAGTAGCTTAGTTCTGTCACCTCTCTTCTAAATATTTTACCTACAACATTTAGATTATTCTGATATGAGTCTGAATGTATTTCATCTTTCTACATTGTGTGTGTGTGTGTGTGTGTGTGTGTGTGTGTGTGTGTGTGTGTGTTTGAGACAGTTTCACTGTCACCCAGGCTGGAGTGCAGTGGTGCAATCTCAGTTCACTGCAACCTCTGCCTCCCAGGTTCAAGTTATCCTCCCACCTCAGCCTCCCGAGTAGCTGGGACTACAGGCATGTACCACCATATTGGCTAATTTTTCTATTTTTGGTGGAGATGGGGTTTTGCCATGTTGCCCAGGCTGGCCATGAACTCCTGAGCTCAAGCGATCCTCCTGCCTCTTGCCTCCCAAAGTGCTCCAGTTACAGGTGTGAGCACCATACCCCGTCTGTCTTTTAAAATTTTTAAGGAGGGGAAAGAAAACTGCATTTCCCACTTCTCCATTTGTTTAAACATAACACTTTTAGGATTTTATTTTTGGTAACTACTTAGAATAATATAGTAGGTTACTTTTCTTCAGCTAGAAAGAACTGTAGGAAATAGGAACCAACAATTTGGAAGTGTTATTTCCTTATTTCATATATAGAAATAATTATCTTATTTCCTTATTTCATAAAATGTTCTAGATACTTGGATGGCTGGGGTTAGTGTTCTTAGTATTTATCATAGTTTAGCATTGGTTGTTAATTATTTTTAAGCATCAGAATTTGAAAGCCAAAGATAATACCTGATTAGGACTGCAAATAGAATTATCATAGTAGTTTAGCCCTTTTTGTCATGGAGTTGGAGCACTGAATTTATTTTCAAATTACCTAGAATTCTGCATTGCCCAAATACTATTCAATTCATTGCAAAATACACCTTGGAAACTTTTTGGATGAATTGTTCAGACAGAAGGTTACCACTAGCATTTAGAGCCTAAAGTCACTCAGTAGGAGGTTCTGGGATGTTTATTTGAAGGCAGTCCAATTTCTCTAAAATAAAGTATTTTTTGTCGTTTAGAACAGATGGGTGAAGAAAGGGATGCGTAAATTCTGGGAAACTTCTTATGGTTTCCTTCCATTTCCTTCCACATCTCCATTAACGTGCTAACTTGAAGGAATTTAACTTCAAGGAAAGTTAAAATCTTCAAGTTAGCACGTTAATGGAGATCCTAGACTAATGAAGCTTATGTGGAGCTGTGAATATTATAATTTGTCAATACTTTATTGATAATGTTAGCTTTGTTTTTATTTGGAAACATTTTTTACAGTTGACCAAAGTAGAATTAATTCTGTTCTTTCCTCAAGTTCATCTATTAGGATCAATGTGATTGACATTTATCTCCACTCTGCATGTCAGTGGTATAGACGCTTGTAAGCCCTGCAGATATAATTATGAGTTTGAAGACTGCTTGAGGTGAATTGGCAGTGAGAGCAAATTTTGGAAACAGGAGAGAGAACTACTTTGTGCCCACAAAAAGCTCTCTCATTCCTTCCCCAAGAAAACAAGAGTTTGAATTTTGGCCAGCTGGTGTTTAAATCTTATTATTGCAGCATTGGTAGTCTTGGTAAATTTTTCATTGGGCTTGCTTTTCTGAAATTTAATTAAATATATTACTCAGGGGAATCTGTGAACAGATTTAGAAGTAGATTGTTTGAGTTGGTCAACAGGACATTTAGAATTGTGACAAATATCTTAATAAAATGCTAAGTTATAATGAATCTAATCATAATTATGTAGATGGAAGATACATTCTAACAGTTCTTTAATAATTTTAGATTCTCTAAATTTAGAATACTTTCTAGCTTAGAGAGCCATATTAATATTTTTTACCTAGTCTACTGAACATAATTTCAGAGAGTTAGTATTTAGGACTTTTTAACCTAGAGATGCGGTAAACCTTTTAAATTTAAGTTTGCTTTCTTAAAATACGTGTTCCAACATTGCTCACCTTTCTCCTCCCTCCTTTTTGCCCTCTCCTTCAGGGGGAGGAGTACATATTTAGCTTTCTGTTAAATGTTCTTTGGTTTTCAACTGAGTAAGGCAAGCAAGGATATATGTTAGAAGAGTGGGCATAATACCTTATAATAAAATTATAGGGAATGAAAGTCTAAATCATTGCTGTCAATAGGATGGCAATCCTTTTGTGATGATGGAAATATTTTATGTCTGTGCTGTCCAATATGGTAGCCACTAGCACAAGTGGCTATTGAGCATTTCACATGTGGCTAGTGATACAGAGGAACTAAATTTTTAATTTTACTTTAATTACTTTAAATTTTAAAAGTTACATGTGGCTAGTGGGTCTATCCCAACTATGAAGAGAGTAAAGCTACAGAGCATATATCTAGTCTAATAAACAACAGTGAATTTGGGAATTGTAAATCTATCCTGAGCTTTTTCTGTAAATGTTTATTGATATAATTTAGGCATACAGAAATGCTGGTGAAATTTTATTGAGTTATTGTTTACTTTTTTTTCAGTATTTATATTTTGAAAAAGATATGTTTCTTTATAATTAAATTGTATGGTAGGGTAACTATTGTCCTTAAACATTAAGCCACTTAATAACAAATAGTATTTGGTTTTTTAGTATTTATCATCTGAGACTTTCAGAATTAATATATCAAACCTTAAATCTTTTTTGTTGTTCTCCAAAAGAATAGGTTTATGGTACATTAAAAGGACATCTTGGGAACCACCAGAGCAATAGACCATATAAGGACTGAATTCCTATGCTTTTGACTTCTATCTAGGAGCCTACTTATTTAGGAGGCTTCCTGAGTAAGTGTATTTAGTTGTAGGACCCTAGAGTTGCCTCGTTCCATTCTACTCTAGCACACACTCAACATACTGCCAGAGCAAATGCAGGCTGCTGGAAAACACGCACACACACACACACACGCGCACACACACACACACACGAAGAGCACAATGAGCACTATTAGCACAGCCAATTTAAAATGATGAGGTGTTAACCACATTTGTATAAATAATAGTTTCTCTAACCCCAAATCATTATCCTGCATTTTTAATGCAATCGGTTCGTAAACATCAAAGTGAAAACACCAAATTTGTAAGGTCAGGACCAACTGGGGCTCTAAGTGGAGAGACAGCTGAGAGCTGTGTCCGAGCTGTGTCCGTATGCGTGGGTGGCCTTGCAGCTGTTGATTCACCCTCAGGCTACCAGACAGTTGCCTCTTTGCACTTGCAGAACCAGACTTCAATCCTAGGTAAAAATGTGTCCTTCCCATGGAAAGGACATAAACAATGGATTGACATCAGCTCTGAAAACATCAGTGCGGCAGCCAGACTCAGCAGTTGCCCTGAAATACTGAGAAGTACCAAGCATAACATCAAGGCTGTTTCTACACAATAATATTTGTCTTTGTACAATAACACTGGGTTCTCTTAAGTATATTATAAATATAAAAGTTCATAGTCCAAAAGGTTCAATGTGATGATATCCTTCTCTACAAATGGCGGGAACACTAGGAGAGCTTGCATGAGACATGACTGCCCTATCTTGGTCCTTCCTAGGATTCCCAAATAGACTCCTCAATAACCAGTAAATTTATATTTACACCGGACACTTTAAGAAATACTAGTATTCATTGTTAGATGAGAGATGGCATAATTTTGGAATAGAACAGAGTTCAATTTTGAGTCTTACTAGCTTTGTTTCCTTGCATAAGTTTCTTAACCTTCGTAAGGCTAGCATGTAAATCAGATGTAGTAATATATAGTTCATAGTATAAAAATTGGACTAATGTATGCAGTGTCTCTCTAGTACAGTGTCTGATATGTAGTAGGGTATCAAGAGATGTTCTCTATAATGCATTTGGAAGATTAGGTGCTGCGCCTGTAGGTTTGCCATTCATGTTTCATCTATGTAATTGCGAGTGTTCCTTTTCTAGATAGAATTCCCCCCACCCCCACAGAAGTTTAAAGTGTGACAGATGGTTGCTACTTATTGAGGCCCAGCAACTCTACTTTTGAAAACCTTCCTCAGGAAAAGATCTTGATGACAGAAAATGCTGTGTAAACAGTATTATATAGAATTGTTTTTAATAGCAAGAAATTTTTAAAAACTTACAAGTTCAGTGATATGAGGACATTTATATAATAAACTATTGAACCGCCAGCCTTCTACTTCCTTGTAAAATGATGGTTGTGAAGACTGATGAAAACACTGTCAATATGTTAACTAAAAAGTAAGATTAAAAACATTATGGATAGTATAAGTACATTTCTTAAATGCCATAAAGGCATGAGATGAATACAATAATACTTTTTTTAAAGAATGTAATTTTTGACAGTCTGAAAAGACAGGACTTATTTAATTGAGAAAAATGATTCGACATTGAATGAGACACTAAAACATTTTTTATTTTTTGCTTACTCTGTTCTAGAACCTAAACTTTCAATACTGTTTAATAGAGCACTATTGATATTGCTGCATTAGATGACTTGTATGAAGAGTCCTATTTGCTAGAATCCTACTTTATCTTTTAAATTTTGCTAATTACCCTGCATTGAATGTTGAATATAAAAAATTTGACTCCCTTTCCATGTGTCCGCTGTTTCCTTGTGCCTCTTGATTAATAAAACTTTATTTTTAAGTGAGAACCTGTTTCCTTGACTTTTTAAAAACAATCATTGCCATTTTGTTTTTAACCATCCTGTTTTGCATAGTTCTAACACTTATTCAAGTAAAAGTTGGAACAGAACATGTAGTAATAATAGCAAACATTTAAACAATATGGATTTTATGCCAGACAATGTCTAAGATTTTCATAATGCCCCTTAACTCATACCATCTTCCTTATAGCCCTGTTGGGTAGATGCTGTTGTCCCCATTATACAGATGAGGAAACAAGCAATCAGTTTCAGTAACCTGCCCAAGGCCACACAGCTAATATAGTCCAATCCTGGCTCGAGTCACAGAGCTGCTGAACACAACAGTGATTCCTCACATTTTAGATGATAATGTCTTATAGAAAATGAAATTCTAGATAGTCAACTCTTCTGGAAAAATAAATGGGCATTCAGTATTTTGGTCTCATTTAACTACGACATAAAACTACGGCCAATGGAAGGTAGTAGTAGATGCCATGCTCTTTCAGGTCCTCACTTCCAAGATGACAAAAGGAACAATGATCATGACAAAAAGGGTGGTGACCACATGTGTGCCCAAGGTCAGGGCTATTAATTTTTTTTTTTGAGACAAGTCTTGCTCTGCTGCCAAGCTGCAGTGCAGTGGCACGATCTTGGCTCACTGCAACCTCTGCCTCCCGGGTTCAAGCGATTCCCTTGCCTCAGCCTCCCGAGTAGCTGGGACTACAGCCACGTGCCACCACCCCAGCTAATTTTTTGTATTTTAGTAGAGATGGGTTTTCACCATGTTGGCCAGGATGGTCTCGATCTGCCCACGTCAGCCTCCCAAAGTGGTGAGATTACAGGCATGAGCCACCGCTTCCAGCCAAGAAGTTATTCAAAACACAGTACAGGCTGCAGCAAGTGTCTTCAATGCCTATGTACTTCCTGAACTGTATGTGAAGCCACATTATTGTGTGAGCTGTGCCATTCACAGCGGGAAGCCTGCAAGGACTGAACATCCCCACTCCTATTTAGACCTACAGATGCTGGCACCAAAGCTCATTAAAGGAGCTGAGTCTTTGAAGACTGAAGAAAAACTATCCTCTGGAGAAAAGTAAAATGGAATTTGTACTTTAAAAAAATTAGTAGGTGCCATTTATCAGAAGGTGAAAATGTTCCTAGCTGTGTCAATTTAGAGTCAACATATCACCCCAGGCTGTTGCTGTCAGTTTATTCTGCAATGTACTATAGGATGATTCATTATAGGTCTTACCCGAGCATGTCTGATAATTAAAACTTTACATTTGAACTATCTGGATGCTGCAGAAATGGAACTACTTTAACTACTGAAGTGGTATCCAACGATTTACTATATATAGCTATTTTTTTTTATTCCTAAGATATAATATATTGGATGTTTGCTGCTGTTTATTACTTAATGACATTAGATGAGTCATAAAGGTGTAAGTGGTTGACACTTTTGCTATTAAGAATTTAGGTATTCAAGTTATGCTTTATAAAAATGAGGATGAGATTTTTAGCTTCCCATGTTACTGCCTAGGAGATAACTGGTAACCAAAACTTTATAATTAAGGATATCCCATTGCTGTTGATCTAGCATCTTTTCTAAAAATGCATGTTTTACAACATTTATCTGAAACATTTTTATTTAATGTGCAGTAACAACAAATCAATGCAAAATTATAAATGAATGTAACAGTATGAAGTTGTAAGACATACCACAGCTTTCCTCTAGGTGGCATGATTTCAGCTATCATTGAATCAAATTTTTCCCTACAGCCACAGGAGTGTGTAGTTTCTGAAGTGCGACATTGATTAGATTTAATTGTTACAACTGGTTAAGTAGCCAGATTGACCTTGTAATAGTCTATTGTTTAATGATCTTAATTAACTTAAAATTATAACACAAAGTGGTCTTAAAGAAACATACAAAACACTTGTTATCTCCAATAAGCCAGCAGCCAGAACTATTTGTCTCTTCAGGTCACAGTGACACATCTATTTCTGGATTTATTTCTTTGGCTTACGGTAGATTGCTTGCTATTTACTTGGACAGTAAAGATATTGCCTTTGTTCTTAAAAGGACTCATATAGATATAACAAATCTAAAGAGAAACCACAAATTGTAGGATTCTTGATCACAAAAATTTTCACATTAACAGGAAACAGCCCCTTCAATTATGTGAAGTTAATTTTCCTGGTGTCCCTGGTTTTATGAAGTAGTTACTGTTTGCTAAACAAGATGGATCAACATGTGAAAAGTCATTATTATGTGACCTGCAAGCACCAAACAACAAACAGAAACACTGTTCTTTTTTTCTGTACTAGCACTAAAATGGGAAAAGGCGCACAAACTCATTTTTACCTTTGAGATTCTTTTTCTGTTGTTGATTTTCAAAAATTTTAAAATGAATTTTTCTGGCTGTACACAGAATACATAAAATGCTTGTTAATCCCATTATCGTTGTATTTGTCTTCTTCCTTTCTTTGTGGGAGACAGCTTTCATTGCGCTCAAAAGAACTTGACCGAGCACCTCTTGGGAATTCATTTTTGTGGCGGTGCAGGTTTATATCAATGCTAAATTGTGCGAGTAACCATTTTCAAAATGTATCTCCAGTGGTAATTTTTAGAATATGCTGCATAGGCAAAGGGAAAAAAAGGCACTGGAAGTGTGCAAAATATAATATCACCATTGCAACCGAAAAAAGGTCAAAGTCTAACTGATGTATTCTTAAAGATTTAGATTTTAAAGTGGCTTCATTTTAAATAAGGTAATTATCTGGGACAGTCCTGGTTTACCCCTGTTGTCTTAATATATCAATGAGTGGCATCCTCTTTACTCCAAAAAACGTTTGGATTTGTGTGATAAATGATATAGTTACCCTAGTTATGAGAATTTTATTTTCTACTAAGACTTAACATAATCATCAGTGAGTTTGTAGTCTGTAGTCTCTAGTTTTATAAATTATAACCCTCCATATATCTGTGCTTTAAAAAATCCTTATACTTAGGCTTTTAAAAATACGTATTTACTAGTTTTTCCCTCTATCATAAACTACACTTGGGTTTTCTTTTTTATGCAATTACTATTGACCCTTGGTTTTTGCTTTTTGTTTTTGTTTTTGTTTTTTGAGACAGTCTCGCTCTGTTGCCAGGCGCCAGGCTGGAGTGCAGTGGTGCATCTCAGCTCACTGCAACCTCTGCCTCCAGGGTTCAAGCAATTCTCTTGCCTCAGCCTCCCGGGTAGCTCGGACTACTGGTGCACGCCACCAAGCCCAGCTAATTTTTTTTTTGTATTTTTAGTAGAGACGGGGTTTCACCATGTTGGCCAGGATGGTCTCGATATCTTGACCACATGATCTGCCCTCCTCGGCCTCCCAAAGTGCTAGGATTACAGGTTTGAGCCACTGCGCCCAGCCTGTTTTTGTTTTTTTAATTGCAGGCTGATGGAGGCAGCGGAAGGGCAAAGTTGTTTGAAATATAGGTTGGTAATTTTGGTAGCGGAAATTTAGACATTTGGAATTTCCCCCAATCTGTGAAGCCCACTGAGATGACAACAGACACAAATTCATTTAAAGAACATGTATCTTAAAAAAAAAAAAAGTTTTGTTATACTCATTTTAATTATGAGAACACAGTCATCTTTTTCTCTATCACTCACCTCTTTTTGTTTTCATTTTTAGTTGGCCAAGACACTGTCCATTTCTCCTCAGCAACCATTCTGGCTTTTTGCCTTGTGAAGTCTGTGAACTTCTGTGGTGGTAGAATAAATGAAGTAGGAGTAGAGATTCTGTAAAGGTGAGTGTCAAATACTGCTCTAAAAAATAAGGAAAATACTACCGCTGGCTTCTTTTTGTCAACATTTTTTAGCATTTTGTTAAGCACATATCCATAGTGTTACGCAGTATGCCAACTATTACCGTATGTTCATTTATTTAAATGTCAGTCACTAAACGCTATCTTAGTGGATGAATTTCACCAGGGTCAAGAAACCCCACAGGCTGCAGCTATACGGATGACATAGCGCAGGCCCCTGTGAGACTGCCTCCCAAAGAAAGACTTTCCTGGAGAGCTAAAATTGTAGAGCTATGACTGGCCCAAAAGCCATAAGCAGTCATCAGTCAACTAAGCATAATTCCAAAAGATGAGATAACGTTCCCACGGTGTATCATTAGTGTGATGAGTTTATCTCTTTAAAGCCTTACAACCTGCAGATATGCTCTGGTTTCTCTTGGTGCTGTCTCTTTATCTTTTATCACCTCTGATCTCTTTAGACCCATCCTCTTTCCATTTTCCTCCTTGCCCATCATTCCCTCCTTTTTTCATAATACTTCTTCCTTAGATTAACCTTTAAATACAAATAATAATCAGATTATTTTCATGAGGAAACCACCTTTCCATTTCATTATTCATAACCAGAATAATGAAATGAAGCTGTTTATAGAAATGCATACAGAACATGAGACAAAATTGATATAGACCATTGTTTTTGAATAGTAGTATCAAATATAAAATTATAAATAAAAGCTTAAAAGATTTTTGGTGTATTTTCATATTAAAGGGTTATTTTGCATTTATCCGGTATCACTATTTGGGGGAAAATGTAATCAATTACAGTTGTTCCATATATTTCTTTCTTTCACCTCCTTATTTTCATGCTTGAAATTATCCTGGAAAGCTTCCAGAATTGTTACAAATGAAGTTATTCTTTGGTCAATGTTAGGAAGGACCTATGATCCATAGGCGTAAAAGTCCAGGACAGGGATGAGTAGTTTTGTTTTCTTCAGCCTCTTGGAGAAATTCCACGTTACTTAAGTGAATACACCTATTGAAGAATGGAGAATGGCTAAGACGGAAACAGCTGCACCCTCTAGCTCTGTAATTTGGAAACACAAAATTCCATTTGAGGGTGTTAATAAGAGACTTTAATCGTGAATGTTTAACTGAACTTTGATAGTCATTCAGCATTTTATTCACCAAAAGTGTATTTTCTTGTCCTTTCCTCCTATAATTACGGGGGGCAAAATACCGTAATATTTAAAATGTGCCTGCAGAAACACTAGGAGGCATAACTAGAAGCAGATTCTTCTTGGGTTCTTCCCTAGCTTTTCAGAGAGAGTGAAGGCCAGATATTTTTATTATAAATTCCCTGACAGAAATAAAGACATGATAGGATAAGAAGCTCAGAGAGTCAGTGTGTAACTGTCAGGATCACAACGCCAGAAAGTGACAGAAATCTGAACCCAGGAAACTATAACTAGAGCCAGCCCTTTAACCCATGGTGCTCTCCTGCCTCCTTGAAGTAGTCAAGATGGTGTATATCAGTTAGATACCCTTTTACCATGAAGACTGTGGAGACCCTGGCACATAAGATGTCCATAAATTTAGTGAATGTTTTTCTTTTTAAATATAGAGATGAAAAGGCATTAAAATAATTATTTAATAGAAGAAAGGATTCATTTACAGTTACCAGGGAGACAGCTCTTGCGATCTTGCCTGTTAGGTCTTCAAAGAACTGATCATTTGAGAGGTGGAAGGGGGCTTCTCCTCTCTTGCTATACTCACTTACTGTACTTACCCATTCCAGAAGCTTTTACCGATACCTCCTCTGTCTTACCATCCTGGGCTTTGGGGAAATTAAAGTAGCGTCTTATGAATAGGTCAGGGGTCTCAGGTCTGAGGAGTTGTTAAGTGAGCAATAGGTATTCAATAAACTAAGTATATGAGCAAAAGTGTGTATGTCTATGTCAGGAAGAGGGGTGTCTCCCAGAATTTATGGCTTAGGCCGTTTTCCTAGAAGTGATGTAAATGGACTTTTGCTACTCTCCCCACACTCTAATCTGAATCTACTTAAGGTGCATCAGTGTCTGTACCAAGAAGGTTGTCTGTAAACATGAGAAATGCTCACTGGCTTGCGGGAAAGCTGAACCTATATCCTCAGCAAAATATGGTGACGGCTAACTCAGGTAACCAGCCGTATTCCACAGCAGGACCTTCACTCATGGCTCTCGTTTGGAGCTCCTGCTCTATGTCTATAATGGCCACAGGTGTAGGAATATTCACCTTTTGTCCAATCAGTAGAGCTAGCCTACTGCAGTTCTCAAACTGAACTCAGAGGGAGGACTTAACTGGAGGAAACTACTAATCTGACAGTAGTACCTCTTGATTATCTTTATCTTGGGCTACTGGGCTGGTAGCTGGTTTCTAACTCCTTTCAAGTTGTTTCAATTCAAAACTGGTGTGAAGGAAAGGAACCTGCTAGTACTGATTTAGACATAATTTTTAGAATTATTCAGAAATGGGTTGGAACAGTTATTTTATTCCAGAGTTTTTCAATATGTGATAATGGAAAAAATTCTGTATCAAGGGAGTTCAGAAAATGCTGTGTTAAAAGAGCGAAAAGGTTTTGTTCTCCGCAGGAGTTTCAGAGCCTTTAACATGGTAATGTTCCGGAATGAGGAATCTAAGAGGACAGTAGAGTACCCAGGATCTCCCAGACTTGTTTGACCCAGGATTTCTGTTTGTCAGAACATATTCTGGGACCACAGTTTCTCAAAAGCACATAGTGGGTAAGAACATAGTGGATCCTGACTGCAAAAATCCAGCTATCCCACCTACTGTGTTCTTAAACAAAGTACTTAACTTCTTTGTATCTGTCTCCTCATCTGCAAAATATGGATAATACCCACTTTACAGGGTTGTTGTGAAGATTAAATGACCATACACAACACAAATCAAATTACTAAGTGTAGTACATGTTAGCTATTATTATTTTATTTATCCAGTGCTCTACTGATAATCTAGGCCTCATACACATCTAAAGTATAAATTCCAAAAGTGGTGGAAAGTTCTTTGTGACTTTTCTGAACTAGGGAACATATGAACTAGGGAATAGTATAGACACCTTGGGTTTGGGGGAAAACTCAACAGTGTTTCCAGTTTAAATCATCTGTCTAGTCAGTATGGCTGCAGAGTCATGCTGAAATGAAAATGTTGACTTTGAGTAACTAAAGGTAAAATAAAAGAAAAAGAGAAAGTGGAACAGTGGTAAGAATTATTCTTGTATTCATCTAATTTAGACTTGGTTGAAATAGAAAATGTCAAGTTATGAGTAGTGTAGAACAGTAGACACCAAACACTTAAAATTCCAGCTTCCTGGATTAATGCTATGGAAAGAATGAAGTTGGTTGATAGTGTTTAGCCTAGCAAGAAGGTGAAGAGAAAGCCATACAGGAAGTGGCTAGGTAGCAAATTACAAAGGTGACCATTCAAGTCAGTAAAACAAACAAATATACCTTATTCTTTAGGTAAAAAATGATGCCTCTCTGTTTTCCAGCAGTTCACAAACAGAAGGCTATATGGTAAACTACAAACTAATAGAACAAACTCTAGGATGGCAGCCTGTTGAGGTATCCCAGAAAATTAGAGGATATGAATTTAAAAGATCAGAAGGTATGTCTTCAGGACTGGCCTGGCCCTGAGTAGACTGGCGTTCCCTCCCATAGAAGCATGTGTGCACACGTAACACAGGAGGAAAGCCTTCCATTCTAGAGCAAGTGATTCAGTTTGGGAGGCTGTGACTGAGCTACACTAAGTGAAAACGGGAGACTTGATTGTCCTTCAACAGACCTGTCCGAAATGACTAGAAAGTAAATACCGTAAATCACAGAGCGCACATCCCACCTCCTTCCTCCCTTCCCCACAGCGGTCCTCATTTCCACACCCCCTCAACGGTTCGGGGAGAGCTCGTGGTCTAAGTAACGAGAGGACTTCTGACTGTAATCCTAGCACGTCACTTTGTTGAAGGCAGACACGTGGTTCTGAGAGAACTTATAAATCTCTCCTCCCCGGCAAGATCGTGATGTTATCTGCTGGCAGCAGGAGGTTCGCTCCGAGCGGAGCTCCAGAAGCTCCTGACAAGAGAGAGACAGATAGAGATAGGCAGAGAAAGAGAGAAAGAGACAGCGGAGCGAGAGCGCAAGTGAAAGAGGCAGGGGAGGGGGTTGGAGAATATTAGCCTAACGGTCTAGGGAGTCATCCAGGAACAAACTAAGGGGCTGCCCGGCTGCAGACTGGAGGAAACAGAGAGGGTCTATTTTAGGGTGGCAAGTGCCTACCTACCCTAAGCGAGCAATTCCACTTTGGGGAGAAGCCAGGAGAGGTTGGGAAAGGGTGGGAGTCCCAGGGAGCCCCTGCGCAACCCCCTCTGGAATAAAACTCCCCAGCCAGGGTGTCGCAAAGGCTGCCGTTGTGATCCGCAGGGGGTGAACGCAACAGCGGTGGCTGATCGTCTGTGGCTGGGTTGGCGTTTGGAGCAGGAGAAGGAAGAGCAGGAGAAGGAGGGAGCTGGAGGCTGGATGCGTTTGCAAGCGGCGGCGGCGGCAACGTGGAGTAACCAAGCGGGTCAGCGCGCGCCCGTCCGGGTGTAGGCCACTGCGCGCAGCTCCGGGAGCAGGATCCGCGCCGCCTCAGCAGCCTCTGCGGCCCCTGCTGCACCCGACCGAGTTCCGAGCACCGCGCGAAGCGCACTCCTCCCCGCGGCGCGCCGGGCTCGCCCCCAGCGCGCGCACACGCGCACACACACACACACACACACACGCACGCACACACGTGTGCGCTTCTCTGCTCCGGAGCTGCTGCTGCTCCTGCTCTCAGCGCCGCAGTGGAAGGCAGGGCCGAACCGCTCCTTCTCTAAATATATAAATTTCAGCCCAGGTCAGCCTCGGCGGCCCCCCTCACCGCGCTCCCGGCGCCCCTCCCGTCAGTTCGCCAGCTGCCAGCCCCGGGACCTTTTCATCTCTTCCCTTTTGGCCGGAGGAGCCGAGTTCAGATTCGCCACTCCGCACCCGAGACTGACACACTGAACTCCATTTCCTCCTCTTAAATTTATTTCTGCTTAATAGCCACTCGTCTCTTTTTTTTTTCCCATCTCGTTGCTCCAAGAATTTTTTTTTTCTTACTCTCCAAAGTCAGGGTTCCCCCTGCCCGTCCCGTATTAATATTTCCACTTTTGGAACTACTTGCCTTTTATTTTTAAAGGAATTCAAGCAGATACGTTTTTCTACTGGGCATTGAATAGATTGTTTGCAAACGTTTCGCATCAAAAACAAACAAAACCAAACAACTCTCCTTGATCTATACTTTGAGAATTGTTGATTTTTTTCTGACTTTTAAAAAACAACCTTTTTTCCGCCTTTTTAAAAAAAATGCACTACTGTGTGCTGAGCGCTTTTCTGATCCTGCATCTGGTCACGGTCGCGCTCAGCCTGTCTACCTGCAGCACACTCGATATGGACCAGTTCATGCGCAAGAGGATCGAGGCGATCCGCGGGCAGATCCTGAGCAAGCTGAAGCTCACCAGTCCCCCAGAAGACTATCCTGAGCCCGAGGAAGTCCCCCCGGAGGTGATTTCCATCTACAATAGCACCAGGGACTTGCTCCAGGAGAAGGCGAGCCGGAGGGCGGCCGCCTGCGAGCGCGAAAGGAGCGACGAGGAGTACTACGCCAAGGAGGTTTACAAAATAGACATGCCGCCCTTCTTCCCCTCCGAAAGTAAGTACTCATTTTCACTTCCATCCCTCGAGGTTTAGCGCTGCCCGGAGCTCTCAAAACCGCAGCAGCTCCCGGGATCGCCCTTCCCTCTCGCGGTTCCCGTTCGCTCTTTTCCCGTTCTCCTGTCCTTCGCCCCGTCCACCTCCTTTCCAGCTGTATGCCTGAGGCCATCAGGCTTTAAAACGTTTACTTTCTACTTTATTTTTTCCATCTCTCCCTTCCCCCAACAATTCAACCCTTTAAAAGCGTTATTCTCTTTTTTTCTTCCCTAAAATTCTTTAGTCGGCCACCAGCTAGGAGTCAGCCCCACTCTGTCAAACTAGAGGTGCTCCCAGGGGGAGAGTTAAACTTGGGAATCTTGGTAGGTTTGTTTTCTTTGCTCCGATTGGCGTGGAGCGCGCCGAATTGGTGCACGAACGGGTTAAAAAAAAGTGTCTCAAAACTAGCCTCTCCGGAAGGCGCCCCCTTTCCGTGCTGACCTATCAGCTGGTTCCCCAAGCCTTCGCTATTGTCTCTAACTCCCCTAAAAATGTCAGCATCGCCGAGACAAAACCCGGTTTGGAGACCTCTCCAGAATCCCACCTGGAAGCCCTCAGTCCTTGATGTCTCGTTTGCCATCACTAGATGTTTAATTACCCGAAGGCAAAATCCTATCACTACGTTCCCTTTTCACCTGGAGTGGCAGAAAGGACAACTTCGTTTCTGACTGTGTTTTAAAAGGTTTTAGTTCACGTTATTTTTCAGAATACACCCAAGCCTGCCTTATTCAGAACTCCAGTGTAGCAGATCATTTTTCTTACGTTATTCTGGTCTGTTATCCCGCTCCTGCCTTTTCGTAGGCTTCCTGCAGTTATTTCAATGCATTTCTAAAACTCAGAGTAGACGACAGCCGTTTTTCGTTTTTTGTTTTTAAACTGGCTTCTCTGAGAACAGTGTCCTCAAAACCAGCTGGCATACAGTAGCAATGGGAGTGAAATGATTTACTGTAGAGGAAGGGATGAGAGAGTGTAGAATTATTTCAGAGTTCTTGAAAACAAACAAAACAAGAAAAGAGGCAGCAGCATCCACTAATACCTGAGAGGGGTTAAATACCAGGAAGAAGAAGAAGAAAAGGAAAAAACAAACAAACAAAAAGCTCTTCAACATTTGCCTATTCCAAATCCCAAGTCGTAAACTTTTCATTGGTTGCTCACTTCTCCCCTCCCCTTTCCATGCCCTATATACTTGCTAGCTGCCTTTGCAAAGTCTCTCTGTCTTGGCTAAATAGATAATACAGCCATCTTGATAATTTTATCATAGAGGTTCTAATTGCAGGGTGGTGCTTTTCTTTTTTTAATATTTATTTTTAGTTTGACAAGTCCTAGCTATGTGACTTGTCATGTCTTGTACTTGATGGTCTCAGAAGTCAGCCCATGTATCTAACCGCAGTTTTCCCGATGACCTTTATTTTGCTGCAGCTTCTCCTGTTCTTGCTGTATAGCAGAACAGATGCAGAGAATTCTGGCAAGCAGGATGATTTTATTACTGTAATTATGGCACTATCCACAGCAGTGTTGATAAATACACTCCACCCCTGGTTATCCCCTTCGGGAAGTAAAGCTTTCTATCTGGGGTGGAGCCAGGGAGATATTAGGAAAGAAAGTTCATTGTAATTAGTCCAAAACCATTTAGACAAACAAGGAGTTGAGTCAGTTTGCTTTCTCTAGCACGTGCACCGGTTCTACTGGTATTTGGGCAGAGAGGAAAGTATGTTATGTAGAACCCAAATAACTCATCTTTCAATGTTTATCTGCAAAAGTTCTAGTAAACTGCCAGGGATTTTATAACACAGAAAGGAGTTCTGGTCTCATTACTGAGTAGGTGTGGAGACAGCAAGTAACCCAAGAGGGCATTAATTCTTTGTTCTCAAGCACACTTCAGTCTGAAGAGCTGAAATGGTCCAACCCGGGGTCACGGTCATCAACAAACTGGAAAAATTCCTAGATTATTAGGAGGATTTCAGAGTATGGCATTTAACATCAATGTGTGGATTCTCCTCTCCATTTCACCCCAGCCACCAAATAAATGAAAACCTCCGATACATCCAGGATAAATAAAATATACT